CTAGGTGCGCACCTATGAGACTGACTGAACAAATCAGGGTGTAGAAATGTGTGGAAATCGCAGCCCTCTTCAAAGATGAGCACACTTTGTAGTCACTGACACAGAGAGATGTCCCTGGATAATAGTGTTCAGGAAAAACACTAACTTAGAACTAGAGCATGACGTCATTTCTTTTCTAAGGCGTTTTTTTTTGTTTTGTTTTGTTTTTGTTTTTGTTTTTTTTTGCAGAGGAGAAGAGAGGGAGAAAGAGAGGGAGAGAAACATCGATGTGTGGCTGCCTCTCATGCGCCCCCGACGGGGGACCTGGCCTGCAACCCAGGCCTGTGCCCTGAGTGGGAATCTTATGGGCGGGCGACCCTTTGGTTTGCAGGCCGGTGCTCAATCCACTGAGCCACACCAGCCATGGTCATTTCTTTAACAGCTTATGTGGAGGTTTAACTGACCTACAATTAACTGCACATAGTTAACACAAACGATTTGATGCATTTTGACATCTGTACACACCCAGGAAACAATTAGCTTAATCCAACAACATCCATTAGCCCTTAAAGTTTCTCTTTCCTTTATCAGACTCTATCACCTGTCAACCACTGCTCTGCTTTATGCCAATGTGCTTTAGGTTGTTCAGTTTAGAATTTTACATATATGGAATCATACGGCGAGAAGTTGTTTTTTCATCTGACTTGTTACACTTGGCATCATTTTTTGAGGTTTACCCACTTGTATGTATGTATCAACAGATCAATTTTTTTTCTTTGTTTCTTTCAGGTTATATCTATTTATTTTTAGATGTAGGGGAATGGAGGGAGAAAGAGATGGAGAGGAACATCAGTGTACGAGAGAGATAAGTTGCCTCTCTTGCATGCCCCAAACTGGGGACCTGGTCCGTAACCTAGGCACGTCCCCTTATCTGGGAATCGAACTAGCAACTTTTTATTTTCCGGGCTGGCGCTCAGCCCACTGAGCCACACCAACCAGAGCTCTTTCCTTTTTTATTTTTTTAGATCCTCACCTGAGAATGTTTATTGATTTCAGAAAGAGAGTGAGAGAGGGAGAGAAACATTGATCAGTTTTCTCCTGAACGGGCCTCGATCCCCAGTCTCAAACGGGGATTTAACCTGCATCCTTTTGGTGCATGAATGACACTCCAAGCAACTCAGCCACCGGCCAGGGCAATTGTTCACTTCTTTTTATTGCTGAGTAATATTCTACGTCATGGATAAACCACGATCTGTTTATTTATTCACTTGATGATAAACATTTGGATTGTTTCCATTTCTGCACACTTTCCTGTAGACTTTCTGTTGAGAATGGTTTGGTTATAGAAAGGTGCATCTATAAATTTGTTTTTGTTTTTGTTTTTTTTTAAAGAAACTGCCAGACTTTTCCAAAGCAGTTGTCTCGTCTCTTATTTCCATCAGCACACAGCGGGTGTTGCATTGCTCCATGTGCTCGTCCGAACTGAATATGCTCCGTCTTTCTCATTGTAGCCCTGCTCGTCGGTGTGCAGTGCAGTCTTACCACACTCCCGCTCTCATCTGATATTGAGGACTTCTCCAGGTGCTTATTTGCTATCTGTGTATTTCCTTCGATGAAGTGTTTCATTGAAGTCTTTTGCCTATTTTTTCAAGTTTGGTTGTTTGCTTCCTTATTACTCAATTTTGAAAGTTCTTTACATATTCTTTTGTTGTTCTTTCTCGGTGTAAGTCATTTATCATATATGTGCTTTGCAACTATTTCTCCCATTCTGGTGGTACTCTTTTCCTCAATGGCAATTTGGAACACACATGTTTTTCATTCTGATGTCCAATTTTTTTATTTTGTTCTTGTGCTTTCGATGTCATATCTGAGGGACCCTTGCCTAAACAAAGGCCACAAAGGTTTACTCCTGTTTTTTCTATGAGTTTTAGAATTTTACCTCTTTATTTAGGCCTTTGGTCCATTTAGAGTTACTTGTGAATGATGAAAAAGGGACTAACATCACTGGTTTTTTTTTTTCCTTAAATTTGTTGTGGTGACGTCAGCTAATAGGATGTTAGAGGTTTCAAGTGTACATTTTATAAGTGATCTGTATGTTATGTTGTGCCTTGCCCAAAAGTCACATCACCTTCGATCACCACATATTGTTGCTCTTATGAACGTGCATACCCAGGTGCCCCAGCACCATTTGTTGATGAGCAGGAGGTTATAACTTGAATAGGTCAAGTTTATCAATTACTTTCTTTGGGGATTGTGCTTCAGACCATATTCATCACTGAGACTCCTCAGCTACAGGCCAGTTATGTCCTCAGTGTGTCTCAGACCCACGGGCCTCAAGCATGCCCACCGTCACCCTCCCTCCCTCTTCCCTCTGGAAAGTTACTCTCAACCTCCTTGTCCCAGGCCACCATCTGCCCTGACATCTGCTATCATCACCACACCTTGGGGTCACAAAACCAGAATCATTATACCTCATATATTTGTCAAATCCTTTCCTCTGGGATGGGACAGTGCCACGGGGCCACATAGTGACTCAGAGATGCGACCACATCGTGGAATGTTACGTGTCACCTTGAGGGTGTGGCTCTGTTCTCAGAGCCTTGGTTTCCCCCTCTGTAAAATGAGAGTGATCTTACCCGCACCTACACACGTGCTGTGGGAGCTGCTTGGTACTATGCCAGCTTGTAGCTGATGCTTGGTTGAAGGTTTATCAGGTGCCTTCCATGTGCCAGACACAGTGTGAGAGCTGGGGACCAGTGAGGTCCTTGCCTTCACAGAGCTCGCCTTCCGCTGCGGGAGCTGTTAGTGCGCAGAATGGATAAGCGTGCTCACAGTGACGCAGGCAAGAACTGCAGGTGGGAGCTTCCTTTCCACCATAAGGTGGACAGAGAAGACCTCCCTGTGGGGGACAAGGGCTTACTGAGGCTCAAGGATGAGCACCCATGGGAAGGCCGGGGGAAGAGCAGGAACAAAGGTCCTGAGGCAGGAAGCACTGGGCCTGGACCAGGAAATCAAAAAAACCTACAGGACGAGTGGGGATTGATAGCAGAGAGGAGTCGGGGAGTAGGAAGGCATTGCCTCTGATACCCAGGGTACAGTTGAGTGGCATTAAGCACATTCACTTTGTTGGTCAACCATCACCACCATCCCTCTCAAGAACTCTTCTAATCGTCTCCAGCTGACCGTCTGATCCCTCTAAACAGCAGCACCCCATCCCCTCACCAAGCCCTGGCACCCACGTCCTCTTTCTGTCTCTATCACCTTGATGATTCTAGTTGCCTCACATGAGTGGAATCATACAGTATTGTTACTGTTTATCTGTCTGATTTTGTTGAGCCTTTCTTTTTCTTATTTGGCATTCAAGGTTCTGAAATCAGAGGTCTTGCACCAAATGCGTTACATTTGCGATACCCAAGAGGGGTGCCTCGTAAGCCTTGAATTATTACTCAGCAAAACTCAGAGACGAGGTCTGGGCGGGGGCATCCATTTAGGAGGTGTCAGCATAAAGAAGAGACTGAAATTTGGGCTCTTGTGACCCAGGGGAGGGGTCTCAAACTTAGGGGTTGGGGCTTAAATGGGGAAATAGAGACAGCTATTTACCACTCCCGCTTTTATTTTTACTTCCTAGGACGGAGAACTCTGTATGGCCAGATTGTCACTTTCTTTATAAGACTTTTTTTTTCTGTGAGATCTCATAGTTTTAAAATGTTGTGATGAGCCCTGGCTGGTGTGGCTCAGTGGATTGGGTGCAAGCCTGCAAATCGAAAGGTCACCTGTTCAATTCCCAATCAGGGCACATGCCGGATTGCCGGCCAGGTCTCCCACCTGGGGCCGTGTGAGAGGCAACTGATCTCTTGCACCTTCCATCTTTCTCCCTCTCTTCCCTTCTCTCTAAAAGTAAATAAAATCTTAAATAAAAGAAAATAAAATAAATTTTTAAAAAATGTGATGAACCCGGAGGTCCACATGCAGGTTCTGGAACTCAGGACTCCCCCTAGGCTGGAAACAGAGATTGAGGATCCCACGGGACACACACAGGAGGGGATTGGAGGGGCTGTGCTCAGCAGCGAGGGACAAGTGTGCAAAGAGGAGGGTGAGGAGCCAGCCACAAGGGCTAGGCCCTTTCTGCGCAGTGTGGGGTGGTGGGAACTTGGCTGGCCACTGGGGAAACAGAGGACAACCAGCAAAGCCACATGTGAGTCAGCTGTTACTTCATCATTTGTAATAAAGAGCGATGGTTTGAGAATCACAAGTGGCTGGTACAGGTCAAGTGCTGGAAATGAGGAGGCTGGTGCAGTGAACCCTCACTGGATGTGTGGGATCCTTTCATCTGCTCCTTCAAGCTACTTTTTTCCTGTTTCTCTTCAGGGTCTGTCTGCCCAGGTCTGGACTCTGCTGTCCGCCTTTGCACCCACTCCCAAGGAGACCTTTCTTGGTCTCTACTCACCTTCCTCAACCTGTCTCAGCTCACTTCTTCCCTTCTCTGTCCCCACAACAGTTTGTCCCTTGCTCTCAGGCTATCCCTTGTCCTGTCTTGGGAAGGTCCTTCCTCCTACCATTGTTAACTACATGTGTGTCATCTCTTTCCCCTCCCCTCAGACTTGGAGACTAGACCTGACCTGAAAGAATCAGACCCACAGGAGGATGTTTGGGAAGACAGACCATCCTCTGCGTTGGTGGTGGAAGGACCCTCAAGGAATGGTGCCCGGGGTTATGATTATGAAGGACTGGGGACTCAGGGTAACCGGGTGGGGTGGCGACAGAGTGGCCCAGGGACTTGTTTGGGGCAGCTGGACATGTCCAAAGCATTAGCCTCTGAATGTCATGAATTTAAGGCATCCATCCACCAAAGCGCCATGCCAGCCCCACAGAGATTGGGAGGACCGAGAGGAGCAGGAACACACCTGTCCACTGCGCTTGGGAAGAACTCGGGTACTTCTAGTCTCAGTTCCTGCTCCAAACTTTGTGCAGAGAAGAAGCCCTACAAGTGTAGAGACTGCGGCAAGTCTTACGGCTACAACTCGTCCCTGGTGAAGCACCAGCGAATCCACAGTGGGGAGAAGCCCTTCTCATGCGCTACTTGTGGGAAGCAGTTCATCCAGCAGTCGTGCCTCACTATCCACCAGCGTGTGCACACCGGGGAGAAGCCATATGCATGTGGGGACTGCGGCAAGGCTTTCAGCCGTAAGAGAAACCTCATCTTGCATCAGAGGACGCACACTGGGGAGAAGCCGTACGCATGCAGGGACTGCGGAAAGGCCTTCAGCCAGAACACATACCTCATCTTGCACCAGAGGACGCACACCGGGGAGAAGCCGTATGTGTGTGGGGACTGCGGCAAGGCCTTCAGCCAGAAAATGCACCTTGTCCTTCACCAGAGGACGCACACCGGGGAGAAGCCGTTCTCGTGCACCACATGTGGGAAGCAGTTCACCTGGCAGTCGAGCCTCACGATCCACCAGCGCTTGCACATCGGGGAGAAGCCGTATGCTTGTGGGGATTGTGGCAAGGCTTATGGCTGTAACTCATCCCTGAAGAGGCACCAGCAAATCCACTCTGGGGAGAAGCCTTTCTCCTGTACCACATGCGGGAAGCAGTTCACTCAGCAATCATGCCTCACCATCCATCAGCGTATCCACACAGGGGAGAAGCCCTACAAATGCAGCCAGTGTGGCAAGACCTTTATCAAGAACTCCTCTCTCACAGAGCACTGGCGTGTGCACACTGGCGAGAAACCATATGCATGCAGGGACTGCGGGAAGGCTTTCAGCCAGAAACAGTACCTGATCGTGCACCAGAGGACACACACTGGCGAGAAGCCATACACATGCGGGGAGTGTGGCACTGCCTTTAGCAAGAACTCCTCGCTCATGGAGCATCTGCGTGTGCACACCGGGGAAAAGCCGTATGTCTGCGCAGACTGTGGCAAGGCCTTCAGTCAGAATAAGCACCTCATCCTGCACCAGAGGATGCACACCGGGGAGAAACCCTACATGTGCTCCATCTGCCAAATGCAATTTGCAAGGCCCTCTTCCCTGGCAACTCACCAGGCCAGCCACACTGGCAAGAAGCCCTACAAGTGTGGCCAGTGTGGCAAGGTCTTCAGCCAAGGCGCCTACCTCATCCTGCACCAGCGTATTCACACCGGGGAGAAGCCTTTCAGGTGCAGCCAGTGCGGCAAGGCCTTTGTCAGGAACTACTCGCTCACCCTCCACCGAAGGATCCACACGGGAGAGAAGCCCTACCAGTGTGGCAAGTGTGGGATAACCTTCAGCCGGAACTTCAACCTCACACAACATCAGAGGAGGATGCACACATAGCTTGGAGGAGGAGAGGAGAGCATGATATTCCAGAATCCACACCCAATGGGTGGATCCTCAGCCCATGCAGCAGTGCTAGACTTGACCTTGGAGCCCTCGGGGAGGACTCAACAGAGTTCCTGCCCAGGTGGGTCTTAGCAATATGGGTGCTGGGAACAGGCCACGCCATGTACATCCGCTGCTTCCGGTGCATCCACAGGGCCATGTGGAAAGGAAGCCCCCCTACAGGTCTAGTATCTGGGAACGTGGCCAGGGGCACTGTGACTCATCACTGAGCTTGAGTAAACTGCTGTTAACAGCTTGGACGACGCATTTAGTGTCTCTGGGTCTCCATCTCCTGGATAGTACAGTACAGGAGGGGGAGGAGAAAGGGAGTCAGGACGTGCGCTCCATGGGCACATTCTCCCTTCATCTCACGTGCCTGGATCTAGGTCAGAGATTAGGGTGTCACATCTGTGGGTGTCCTCATTTTCCCCACACCCAGCCCCTGCTTTCCCTGCAACAGTAGAAGTTGCCAAGTAGTTCATAAGGGGGAAAACTTTTTTTCAGCATTAAGGAATAAAAGTAATCAGTTGCCAAAGTTCCTCATGGTGGTCTGTTAAAGAGTTTTTTTTAATAATCTTTTAGTCGAGACCCATGTCTTTTCAAAAAGTCATCAGGTGCAAGAGGTCCAGGTACCGATTGTCCTGTCAAAAGGAGTGTCAACATTTGGGGCCAGTGGGCAAGAATGCTCCATCCAAACCCCAGGAACCCAGCAAACTTGCTCCAGGTGTGAAGCCATCTGCCCCTTCAAGCCCTGTATTCCTGGCTTGGGAATGATCAGATCAGGGGGCAGGGCCCAGACCGTCAGTCTCAGAGATGGGGCAAGGACCACTCCCCTGCAGAAATCCACCCTGGTGTCCCCCTCCCTGCAGGGCTTTTCAGTTTCAGGAAAATCCTGTCTCAGATTGCAGACAATCCCCTACCCTCACTGTGCTGGCTGGAATTCTTAAGAAAACACAGTGCCTTCAGTCAGGCGGGCACATTATCCAACCTATGCCTCACTACGCCTTAGTCATGTGTACTTATGATTTCATTATTGATGATAATAATGGTCTATTACTAACAATAAATAGCAAGTTATATAGAATGGTGCTCTATTAATATAGTACATAAAATATTAATAAATGGGTAATTAATTTCTATATAGAACATTCTTATCCCAGGTTTTCTGCTGAGGATGCCAAGGCTCAGAATTAATTCTTTGAATGTCCAAAATCTCTTGGTCCAGTGAAACCTGCAGGCAGGCAGACTCAATGGCTGCTGAAGCAGGGGGGTTTGAACCCCTTGGGTGCTGGGGAGAGAGCTCTTTGTGCTTGGGTGGCCTGGAGGCTATGCCCACCCCCTGCCCCCACACAGTGGCCAGATGAAACCTTGATAAATTTGTTAATCTGTGTGTTTTCTTTTTTAAATCCTAACATGAGGATATGTTTATTGATATTTTGAGAGTGAAGGCAAAGAGAGACAGAGAAAGAGAAACATAGATTAACTGCCTCCCATACACTGCCCGACCAGGAATTTAACTTGCAGTCTAGATATGTGCCCCGACCGGGAGTCAAATAATCGTTTGGTGTATGGGACGATACTCCAACCAGGCTATCCATCCCAGGGTACCCATCCAGGCTATGTGCTTTTGTTTTTAAATACTTGTGTTTTGAATCTGGCAAGCCTACACACACGCACGCACGCACGCACACACTATGCATCCATGGAAAATACACACACACACACACACACACACACACACAATCTATGCATCCATGGAAAATACCTGCCGTTGATTCATGTGTTGATGGGTTTTGCTGTAAGTGACGTCAGATGACAGTAGTGGTTGTGCAAATTGCCTTTTTCAATGCAATGATGTGTCTTTGAGACATTCGTGTATCATTCCACAAAGATCGATTTTGTTCTGTAAAATGAAGATAACATCACCCCACTACTGTGAAGACATAACAGCCTATCAAGAAATGTGCCCTGAGACTCTGGCCATGTTGCTCAGTTTCTGGATCCCTGGTCAGGGCACATACAAGAAGCAACCACTGAATGCATAACTGAGTGGAATAACAAATCAATCTCTCTCCCCTCAGTTTTTCTAAAATCAATAAAAATAAATAAATGTCAGTTGATTTATAAAGGTTCTGTGTTTAGGAAGCTTACTCCAGGAGATGAAAGGAAAGCCCTGTGGGAGAAGGTGGGGAGGGAGGCACCTGTTTCTTATTGGACTTGGCAATTTCAACTCAGACAGTCCAAGTGAACAGAGGACTTAATGGTGTGAGGCAACTTGGTGAGTTTTTTTTCACTTCAGTCATTCTTTTTTTTCCTCCCAAAATAAACTGAAGAATTTTCAGTAGTAATGAAACAAGAGTTAATCCTGAAGGTTTCATTTACAAAAATTTGGGCCTGTCGCAAAGGGTCTCGGGATCTCAAATGATCACCTTTTGTAAATAACCTACAGGTCTGCTAGTTGAGGGGATGGGTCACAATAACTAGATGCATCCACACAGTGCGATTAATTCTCTATAGTTTTTAAGAAAAAAAGAAGTGGCTCATGCAGGGTAGCTCAGTTGGTTAGAGCACCATCTTGATATACCAAGCTTGTGGGTTCATTCCCCAGTCAGGGCACATACAAGAATTAGCTAATGAATACATAAATAAATGGAACAACAAATCCCTCTCTCTCTCAAATAAACAAACATTAAAAAGTGAAGTAGGTTCTTTTTGTGGGAAGACCCTTACTTCCAGGAGTCTTTACTTGGTCCCATGCACTCCTACCTTCTGGGCCACTGCTGATGGCTCAGAGGAGGGCGTGAGAGATCCCCTGCCCGTGGCGTGGTCTTCTTGCAGAGTGTCACCCAACAGGGATTCCATGAACATGGGTGACTCGACTGGGCAGACTATGGGCTGCACCCAGCCAATGGATGGACTTGCTCCAGCTCACTCAGTGTATTTTCAATGTAATGAGTTGTCCACATTAAGTCATTGCAATATTTTACATTTACAGACCTCACTTTTTATTCATTTACACCATCAGAAATAAATCATAGACTAAATCTGGCATGTGCCACGATTAGTCCTAGGAGCTGGGTACTCAGCTGTGTATTAGAAACATACAGTCACTACCATCATGGAGATGGAATTACAGGAAGCAAGGCAGATAGTATAAAGAAAAAATATTTTTAATGTAATGAATTCCAATTTCTTTAGAGAATTTGGAATATCAAAACTCACCAGGATAGGACAACAACTCTATGAAAGGTTGAAAAAAGTAAAGAAGATTTAGAATTCAGTGGGTCTAGCTGATCAAAAGTTTAAATCTGAGCCTCAACACTTCTTGACCATCAAAAGTGGGTGTTTTATGAATATATGTCTCAGTGATAGGGGCAGCTGTGGCTTCCCTGGTGACCAGATCTTTGGGAAGAAAACATATCCATCAGTTCAGTTATCAGTTCCAGAGTGGCTGGGTTTTTATGCCAGGGGCTCATTCCAGAAGACCTTGCACTATTCAAAACCTGCATAATTCAAGGCCAAACCTAACGAGATTATTGGCATGTCTCTTCACCAGGTAATGTGATACCAAAATAACAAACATGGTTTACCATATACATAATTGATCATATTAGAAAGTAAGGCTTTTTAGGAAATTTTAAATTGCAAGGCTTCATGTCATTCCAAAAAAAAACCACTGAAATGTGATTTCAAGTTTGTAATTTGAGTTAGCATAAAATTCAACTATGCTGTGTTCTTGTAAATTCACAATAATATCCTTCTTTTACCCCACCTTCCAACGTAAGAACTAGAACATTGCCAATAATTCACACATTGCTACATAGCACTCCCACAATTTTTCCCCAAGCCAAAGTTACCATCATCCTGAATCACGGCACATCTGTCTTTTGTTCTTCATTTCTGGAAGTACAATTTTTCAAACAGATGTTTTAGAAACCCTATGTTAATAATTTCAGTCAGGTTGTAGCCAGACCCTACCATCCTAAAAGCCGAAGCGGCCTCTTAAAAATGGTTGTGCAGTTTTTGCCCTCGTCTGCTTCCATCCCACGCTCCTCATAGCCCTGAGAGCTTTGTTTACAGGCAACAGCAGGGCTCTATCCCAGGCGGCTCTGTTCTTTGAAGAAATCAGGGTAGACGGGACCTGGGCATTCCGCTTAGAGAGTCACTCAGGGACAGAGGCACCCCGTCTGAATCAGCACCAAGGATAGGTCTCCCAATGACGTCGGGTAAGATAGTCGCGTCCGTGGTAAAAGGGTTCAGTACCACGGACAGCTCAGTCGGCCTGTCCAAACAGCTTAAACAGGTCTTTCCGAGAGGGGGTTCAGCCCTGGCTGGGAGACGACTAAAACAGAGAAAAAAAGTCATTTATCACCATTTAAGGTGGCTGCAGTTGGCATTTTTGTTGTCACTGAGACGTTCAGCAAATGCTTTTGCACTTGGCTTTTCGGTTCATGTTGTTGGAGTGCCCCAACCTGGAGGCCCCTTCCCCACCCCAGCTCCCCCGCTTTTCTCCCCTGTGACCTCTCTTGTCTGTATCACTGTCCTCATCTGGAAAGTAGTTTGGTTGCCAGGACTTAGTGAGTTTTTACATCTTTTGTTTTTTAAGATTTTATTTATTTATTTTTAGAGAAGGGAAGAGAGAAAGAGGAAACATCAACGTGTGGTTGCCTCTCGTGCACCTGCTACTGGGGACCTGGCCTGCAACTCAGGCATGTGCCCTAGACTGGGAACCCAGCCAGAGACCCTTTGGTTCGCAAGCCGGCGCTCAGCCCATTAGGCCACGCCAGCCAGGGCAAGTTTTTACATCTTAATATGATAGCCGGGCTGGATCACAGGGAGCAGGCAGAGGGCAGGAACAGGAGGGGCCGCCTGAGATCTCCATTTTCCCTGGGCAACGGCAAAGCGGCGGGTGGGGTGGCATTGCCTTGGTAACCGAGCTCCTGCGTTGCAGGTGGAGCAACCTAGCCTGGAGTCAGGTACCCTGCTCCAGGCAAGAGGCCAGCATGAGGAAGAATTACACGGAGCACGCGCAATGCTGGAAAGACAAAGAGTGGGGAAAGCCCTTCTATCCACTGCTGGTATCTGATTGGGGGTAGGAACAGGGAAAGGCAGACAGTTACACCATAGAGGTAAGAATGGCGGCAGCGGGGAGGTGCACGACCGAAGACTAGCCTGTCAGTTTAGCCTGGGTAAGAGAAGTGATTGGTCGTGGGTGAACCCCCCGCTCCACGACCCCTCCCAAGCACGTGGAACGTTGGTAAGTTAATTGGGCAAGCGGACCGTCTCACACCCGGAAGGAATAAACCAAGGTGAAGGAAAGGACGCTCTCTGGCCTACCTGGGGAACGCACTAGCTGGTGAGTTAGTGGGACTTTGTGACCCTGGCAGACTTCGGCAGGCCCAGAGGTTTCTAGGAGTGACCCTGAAACCGGACAGTGCTCAGGACCAAGCTGAGGTGCCTGAGTGACTGCTCAGCAGCCCCTACGGTTCCCAAAAAAGGACTGATTTGAATGAGAACAGGAGTTCGG